ATTAGACTGTATAATTTCAAAATCTGAAGCAAAAACAGAATGACCTGACTTTAGCTTTGTGAAATTATGCTACATAAAACATCTGCATGAAACAGAAACAGCAGGTGGGCTGAATGAGACGCAGATTCACTCTCTGACAGCAGGCGGCGCTTATGGTACAGTAATACAGCGTTTCCTTGTTTACCGCTGTAAACACAGCAGTGCTGCATGTATTAACACTAATTTAAATGCATCATACAGAGACAAAATTAAAAGAAAACGCCATTTCTGAAAACAGTCAATTCCGTTCCCTAGAAACACATTCATATAAAATTCAATGTTTGGATTTTCTTCCTATATTTTGCGCAGTGAACAGTGATCTTGTTCTGCCTGCTACATTATTTTCTCCTCTTTGTGTCCGTCTTCAGCATTTCTGGCCTTTGTTGATGGCCGTATAGTATAATAATTAAGTATAATAATAACATAATATTTCCACACAAATGGCCATTTGGAAAATGATTGCAGTGCAGTTTGTGCAAGCACGGAACAGAAGATAGTCTGAAATAAAACAAAAAATGTCCGGTAGATCGGTGCATGTGTATAAATTCAATATAGATTAATCATTGTTAAAGCTACAAAGTTACTTGCCAGGACAGGTATTTTGACATACTTTTGTATGTATTTGCCCGTTCAGGCAGCTCGTGCGTGTCAGTCTGGCTGTCTGTGCGCGCACTGTTCACACAGAACACAGCGCGCGAATACTAAAAGGAGTTGTCTTTCGCACCCAAATGCTTTTTAATTGCTTGAATTTTTAAATTAACAAGTCTTAAAAACATATACAAATTATAAAAAGTCGTGACGACGCTGCAGTGGCCCGTTCGGGCAAGTGACAAATCCATCTACTGTCCCGAACGTCTTTCACGCTGGCCCCGGTCCATCGGGCAGTCCTTATTGTCGAGCCCTGTATAGTAAATGAAATGTTTATGACTGGATTCCACGATTCTGCCAGTGTTTTACACATTGCGGAAATCACAGGGCCCTAAAAATATTTCACGGATCCCACTGAATTTCAGTACGAGATTGCCGGTATTTCGAGTAATTTTACACTGCGATACAAGACTGTGACGCCCACTGAGATACAAGTCTTTCACGTTTCAATGAATCAACAAAGCAGTATATCCGCACTTTGCTTCCCCAATCCCCCACAAATAAAAATGAAAAATCTTAAATGTAAAGGCCATACCCTGTCAGCACAGGTGCAACACCTCCACGGGCATGCAGGAGCATCACCTGAAGCTCTTGCACCTGTGTTATATAAAAAAAAGTTTAAAAAAGCAGAAATTAAAATCACCCAAAATATTAACTCAGCATTCTACTTGATTTTAAGTAACCAGTCATGTAACAGTTATTTGAAAAGCACCCAAGAGCCCCAAAACACCAAATAGACTTCGTACCTGCTGTCTGAGTCGCTTCATTTCTACTGCACGTGGATCAACATTGAGAATGGGCTTATTCTTAATTTTACGGGCACGGTCAGCATAGCGCAACGTGTTGATAGTCTCCTCAATGTTGGAGTCTGCTGGACTTACACACGCAATCATCAAGGTGTGGCTGTTTCCTCCGAGAGAGTCTGCAAAAACGGTTTGTAAAGAATTTCATAACCAAAAAAAAAGGAGACAAAAAAAGAAAGAAAAACCACATTGTCATGAAGAAAAACTAACTAAACTAGAAAAGAAAGTTTGTCAATTTCACCATTGCTGCTGAACTGAAAACGAGCAACACATTCCTACTCAAACCTTCAGCATTTTACGCTGAACAATGTTTCAAAGCAGCTTTACAGAAAAATATTGCAGCAACATGATTTAAAAGTGTTGGCCTGACAAAGCCTTGTCTGAAAGATCAAAATAGTTTGAATAATTTGAAGTTTATTCTTTAAAGGCTCTCAATCTCACTCACTATGTGGTGTACTGAAAATAAAGTGATCTGATAGAAAAATGACTTCATGGACTGAATGAATCTTACCCTGTAAGAGGCGTGTCAGTTTGGAATCCCTGTATGGCACAAAGGATCCCTTCTTGCTTTCATCACCAAGTGCACTGATCACATTCCCCAGAGAAAGCAGTCCACGGTTAATGCTGATTCCTGTGGCACAAATCAAGTCATCAAGTCAGGTGCTTAAGGAAAAAACTAAAATTATGGTATTTCCAAACCCATGACTTTGCTTAAAGAACACAAATGTAGACATTGGAGAATATCCTGGCCACACTTTAATATGATGCAAATTAGAGGTCGACCGATTGGTCTGTTTTGCCAATTAATCGGCACCGATAGTTGATTGGTGGACTTATTGGCAAAAATCCATATAAAAGTCCATAATAGTTTTTCCAGGTTGCGTCCGTTGCTGGAGTGGCTGACATGGTTCGCTGTCACTTGTACAGTACGAGAGCGGCATCTTGAGGCGGAATCACTGACACCACGTGCTGTTTGTTTTGACACACAAGGCTGCATGCTGCACAGAGCGGGACACTTCAAATGCGGATTTAAAACATTACATGTTTTCATATTATTATAAAGTAATTAATTTGTTGACAAGATGCTGCATTAGTAGTGAAAGAATAGAAGTATGTTTGCCATCAAGGCTGAAATGATGCAGACATTAGTAGCACCTCAAGCGGTTAAAACAGTGACCAAAAGACACTCAAGTCCGACCCAAATGTTTGATGTCACGATTGTTACCACCTATTCGCATTAGTTTATATCCAACTGGTCACTTTTATGCATTTGTTATCCATCGAAGATGCATATTTAAAGCTAGTGACGTGAGAAAGCACATTGATATGTTCATGCAACCGACAGAAATCCTGCCGCTCCCCAGAGCGCCACTCACATAGTTTTCCATTAAATTACATTATATTTGTCCCAGATCTTTGTTCGTTTGTATAATTCACCCAAGGCTGGAAGATTGTGTGTTATGCATTCAGCGAAACGTTTATCTTTCTGTGGCTCTAATAAAGTCTGTATGCTTCAAATATACTTCAAGTATACTTTCTCTTTCAGTTTTGGTCCAAACTTCAAATACATCAACGCCACCTTTGTCTGTTTGTTGATTAAATAAACTGTTCTGGACTGCCGCTTGAACACGATGCATCCGTTGTGTGATACCTGCAAGTTATAGACGCGACGTTTTGCTGCACTTTTTGTCCGGTGTGGTTTTTGTTATTTTGACTGGATGATCGTCAAGTGTTCCAAAATTAAAGCAAATAAAGTGTGAGTGTATACATACAATATACATATGTAATTTCAGTGCTATGGCCTTTGTGTAGACGTTTAAACATGGCTGTTTTTAAGCACGAGTCTTTGGATTTATATGATAACGCTTTACAATTTGTTAGATTCCATTTGTAACATTAAGGTTAATATAAGCTGTAGAAGTATTGTTCCTTGTGTAGAGTGTTAATTTCAATACCAATACATTTTTAAATTTTAAAGTTGCATATGTTAACATTAGTTAATAAACTATGAACTTACATTAATGATGAATTTATAATTAATATTTCACATTAATATTTTTATTCCATTTAAAAAGCATGGTTCAGTATTTTTTTGGGGGGAATAACAGTTGATTAATTGGTTATCGTCCAGTGTGGTCCAACCCAGCTATTGGTATCGGTAAAATCCATTATCGGTCGACCTCGAATGCAAATGAATGGGTTGTTAATCTTAAAAAGTAAATAAATCATTTTCAAAAATACCCTTCAAAACACTTAAAGGTCATATGATGCTGCTAAAAAGAACATTATTTTGTGTACGGTCTGAAAAGCGAGGTGTGCTGTGATTGACCAGCTATCCAGTGCGTTGTGATTAGGCATGGGCCGATAACCAGTTTCAAGGTATACCACGGCTTAAGCCTCCTGCCATTGTTTACATCTGTTCAAAATCACGCATTTAAAAAAAAAAAAACTTTGCCACTGGAGTGTTGTACGGAGAGACCGCGCGTGTGTGTGTGTGACACTCGCTCTCTCTCTTTCCTTATGTGTGTATGTGCACACATCCTCGTACCTCACCGCTCCAAACCATAGCTCCAAACTTAAGGAAACTTAGGGAAAGGTGAACATTCCTGCATCATAACTTGAACTGAAAGATGAATGTGTAGAAAGCACATGATGATGCCCTGTCAGTCTTTATGCACCAAGAGCTTGTAACACTCCAAAGAGAAAGGAAAAATTGAAATCGCATCATATGACCCCTTTAATTGATATTTGAGGGCTGCACTGTGATGCTTAAATAGAGTCTTTTAATATGTCATCAAATGATTCATGTTTTAAATATGCCTAACAAGATTTTTTTGGTATATAAATAGTTACACTGAATTACATTTTAGTGTGTGTCTTCTGTCAAGCATGGTAAAAAATGCATGATAATTTTTTTTTTGTTCAGAAAAATATAAACTTAAACAGAAATCACGCATTTAAAAAAAAAAAAACTTTGCCACTGGAGTGTTGTACGGAGAGACCGCGCGTGTGTGTGTGTGACACTCGCTCTCTCTCTTTCCTTATGTGTGTATGTGCACACATCCTCGTACCTCACCGCTCCAAACCATAGCTCCAAACTTAAGGAAACTTAGGGAAAGGTGAACATTCCTGCATCATAACTTGAACTGAAAGATGAATGTGTAGAAAGCACATGATGATGCCCTGTCAGGCCGGAGCGATGATTTAAATTCTCCTAAAGTCCACTATCATCTCCACAGTTTTGAGCGTGTTCAGCTCCTGGTTGTTGTGACCGCACCAGACAGCCAGCTGCTCAACCTCTTGTATGCAAGCAGACTCGTCACCATCCTAGATGAGACCGATGACTGTGGTGTCGTCTGCAAACTTCAAAAAAAAAAAAAAAAAAGTTTCATCTGCAGATATGGCATCTGACTGCCAAGTAGTGATTGTGTTTTTCAGCAATAGTGTGCACCCTTAATTTACAAAGAAAAGAAGGTCAGGGAAAAAACTGTAGATGGAAAAATCTCCATACAAGTCTTGTGCATTTTTCTTTTTTTCTACTTTGCACTTTTTGTTAGAAAATGTTTATTTAGTATTTATTCAGGTTTTTAAGGTATCTAATATTTTGATAATTTCCATGATCTAAATATTCTTAAAAATTAAAAGTTTGTTGTCATTTGGAAGTGTGTAGGCCTTCTTGCATTATTATGCTGTTACATTATGATTATATATTCTTATTACACATTCAGTGGCATAAAATGGTCTTTAAAGGGGTCATGTTAAGATTTATTTACAACAGAACAGCACAACCCAGATGTTCGAATATGTGCAACGCATTTTATGGACGACAAAGCTGGCTGTGCACAAAGGCTATTTCTAAAAAAAAAAAAATTTTTTTTAAAAAGGGTAAATTTAAAATGACAATAATATCACTTATCGCAATTATTTCTGGGGCAATATATCGCACAACAAAAAGTTGTTATCGTGACAGGCCTAGTCTGGAGGATTGTTGGGATGATGGTGTTGAAAGCGGCGCTGAAGTCCACAAACAGGATCCTTGCATAAGTCCCTGGTTTGTCCAGATGTTGCAGGATGTAGTGCAATCCCATATTGACTGCATCATCCACAGACCTGTTTACTCGGTAAGCAAACTGCAGGGGATCCAGCAAGGGTCCAGTAAGGTCCTTCAAGTAGGCCAACATCAGTCTCTCAAATGACTTCATGACCACAGATGTTAAAGCAACAGGTCTGTAGTCATTAAGTTCTGTGATTTTTGGTTTCTTGGGTACAGGGATGATGGTGGAACATTTGAAGCAGGAGGGGACTACACACAGCTCCAGCTGTTGAAGAGTGATTTTTGGTTTCTTGGGTACAGGGATGATGGTGGAACATTTGAAGCAGGAGGGGACTACACACAGCTCCAGGGATCTGTTGAAGATCAATGTGAAGATGGATGATAGCTGGACAGCACAGGCTTTGAGGCAGGCTGGAAAGACACCGTCTGGGCCATTCGCTTTCCTTATCTTCTGCTTTCTGAAGACTCTGCATACATCGTCTTCACAGATCTTGAGTGCAGGATGAGAAACAGTAGGGGGAGGGAGGGGGAGGGTGTTGATGGTTGTGCTGTGAGACGGTCGGAGTGGGTGTGGGGTGTCAGAACAGGCTTTTGCTTTTCAAACCTGCAGTAGAACTCGTTCAGGTCTTCAGCCAGTTGTTGATTGGCCTCAGTGCTGTGGGATTGGGTCTTGTAGCTGGTGATGGCTTTCAGGCCATTCCACACTGATGTAGAGTCATTACTTGAAAGCTGTTTTTTAACTTTTCAGAGTAGTTTAACTTTTTGCCACTCTTATCTCCTTATTCAGTGTGTATTTGGCCTGTTTGTACAAGGCTTTGTCCCCCACTCCTGTAGGCGTCCTCTTTGGCCTGGCGAAGGTGTTTGAGTTTTGCACTGAACCAAGGTGTGTCGTTGTTAAATGTTAAATAAGTCCTGGTGGGAACACACATGTCCTCACAGAAACTGATGTAGGACGTCACGGTGTCAGTGAGCTCATCCAGATCAGTAGCTGCAGCCTCAAAAACTCTCCAATCAGTGAGGTCGAAGCAGGCTTGTAAATCCTGCTCTGCTTCAACGGTCCATTCTCTTTACAGTTCTTACTACAGGTTTAGCAGATTTGAGTTTCTGCCTGTAGGCTGGTAGAAGATGAACCAAACAGTGATCAGAGAGTCCCAGAGCTGCTCGGGGGACAGAGTGGTATGCATCCTTAAAAACAGTATAGCAATGGTCCAGTATATTGCGGTCTCTGTTGGGGCATGTGATGTGCTGTCTATATTTAGGCAGTTCACGGGTGAGATTAGCTTTATTAAAATCACCGAGAACGATAATGAAAGAGTCCGGATAACGCTGCTCTGTGTGTGTGATCTGATCAGCCAACAGTTCTAGAGCCGCACTCACACGCGCGTCAGTAGGAATGTACACACTCACCAAAATAAACAAGGAAAACTCCCATGGTGAATAAAAAGGCTTACAGTTAATAAAGAGAGCTTTCCAAATTTGGGCAGCAAATCTTCTTTAAAACGGTCACGTCCGTACACCAGCCTTCATTGATATAAAAACATAATCCACCGCCTCTCGTTTTCCCCGACGACTCAGTGACGCAGTCCGCTCTGAAGAGCTGGAAGCCCATTAGATGAAGTGCGCTGTCCGGGATGGCTCCGTTCAGCCAGGTTTCCGTGAAGCAAAGCACAGCAGAGTTTAAAAAGTCCTTGTTTGTGTGGGTGAGGAGTCGTAGTTCGTCTGATTTATTTGCCAGAAATTTGCTATTTCTGATGTCCAGGAGTTAGTTTCTAGTAAAGCTTATCGGGAAAAAGTTGCTTAAGACAGGACAAACAAACAAAAAAAGTGCGCTGTCCGGGATGGCTCCGTTCAGCCAGGTTTCCGTGAAGCAAAGCACAGCAGAAAAAAAAAAGTCCTTGTTTGTGTGGGTGAGGAGTCGTAGTTCGTCTGATTTATTTGCCAGAAATTTGCTATTTCTGATGTCCAGGAGTTAGTTTCTAGTAAAGCTTATCGGGAAAAAGTTGCTTAAGACAGGACAAACAAACAAAAAAAGTACAAGTACCAAGGAGCGACAAACCATGGCTGCAATCTGCTGCGCCATCATCAGAATAAATTACACAACATTTCACCACAGAAATATTTATAAAGACAATAGCTTTAGAAAGATATTGATTTAAGACGAAAATGTTTTAAAATCTTACCAGATTGTTAGTTATCTTAATCCATTACAGTGTACAAAACAACCATAGCAAAATGGCAGCAGCTGCATTTGTATGAAACAAGAGAGCGAGCCCACGATACCAGGATGACAATTAAATAATTGTACACAATTTTGAATCGAGTTTTAATATTTTATTAGCTAAACAAACGCAAAGCTTCCACCAAGAAAAAACTGTTCCTAGCAAGAGTATAGGGCTGACTTCAGTTACCCGGATGAGTAGGACTGCACGATATATCGTTTCATCGATATCACGATGTGAGCACCCGCGATAGTCACATCGCAGGATATGCGATGTTTAGTATAGGCTACTGATCGTTATATTTATACTGATTGTTTACTTTGCTCACACACAGACACAGTGTCTACACCGGACGTGACAGCTGTACAGAGATACCCATTTTAAATACATTTAGTAGCAGAGCTACTGTTTTAGGCGCGACATGTGAACGGCCCCAAAGTCTGTCTACACTGGACGCGACAAAGTGACCGTTGCCAATCATTTGAACTTTGTGTCAGTACGTCATAAAGAGAGCGCGGCATCAGTTTACTGTCGGGGATTTGTCGTGCCGCACCGCATCCAGTGTAGTCAGTCACACAGCATCACTGATTATAATGGGTTCATTGTATTTTGTCGCATCACACAGCCGGTGTAGACATGGTGAGAGCCACGCAGATGCATGTGAACACTGATTTGTTCACTTCTGCGTCTATTTGTGCCTGAAATACTGTGCACTGCAAGTATCCTTTTAAACGCAGTTGCTTATGGCTTAGGTGAAGGGAAACAATTGAGAAAGAAAATGGATGTGTGTAACAGTAGCCTATATTGGTTTACAGCAGTTTAATGTTCCTGAGGCTTTCTGTGTTATGAATGATAATCAAACAACAAAACACAAAGAAAAATCACTTTTGTAGCTTTAACACAGATTTATTAGATTTAATTTATA